CTCCAGTTCCTTCAGTGTCAGTAAAAAGTGGCGCGTTATTAGATGACGGCAATACCGATATAAATCAATAAAAAGTAGTATAAATAAATAAAGAGAAAATCGCTTTCTTGAAAAATGCCATTTTCCATCAATCGAATTGATAACAAAATAAGTAAATAATGTTTATTATTTTTTTTTTCGCCTTTTTCTGGGTAAAATAAATGAAGAGTAATAATATTTTTCTTTTCATGACAGAAATTAATTCGAGTAATTATGACAGTGTTTTAAAAATTAATTTTAATCGAACGTTAATTAATTTCAGGATCATTTTGTCGCAGGATTGGCAGCGTCAAGCTCACCTTGTAAGAGACGTCTTATTCGGAAAATTCAGATCAGATCAGAATATCTTGCGCATCGATCAGACGGCAAATCAATTTCACGAAGCTTCCACTTCAGTAGTCCGATATTTGCGCAAATAAGCATGACCTAGGGCGCTACGTAAATAAGTTCGATTTATTTGAATCGAAAGAAGCTGACAGCTCGGGAGAGAATTACGTCACGCTGTGGCTTTAAGAAATTTAGTGGACCTTTCGCGTTGAGTGCAGACCCTCGTTACTCGACTGCCCCCCCGTTTCTACGCCACTGATGCAAGTTATATACAGTCTGTGCATACATCACACGCATGCTTTTGTTGCACGTGGCCAAAGAAAATGCCAGCTGATTTACAGCCGGCATTTACTTTGAGAACGTTCCCTTCTTACTGAAGATAAATCGACAGGAGCCGCGCATTTACTTCTGTCTTTTCTTCCATACCCTAAGATTTACACTTGAGGATGCTTAAATCTACTAACACGCGCGAAGCTATCCCCACGGCGGAGATTTCTACATCTGCTATTTCACTTCAAAATAGCGCCGGGATTTACTTTCTTATTTTCTTTAAATGAATTTATCTATTCAATTTCTGCAGCTCCGGTTCTTCACTTTCTCTCTTTTTCTACGAAGTAAAACGTCGGAATTTATTTCGCGATAAATGTGATATCATCGATCACATCAGCAATTAAACGTTAACGATGATAGTCTATTTCCTCGTGATCGCTCTTATATCACGATGTGCAATACGCAAGACAGAATGCGCGCTGTCCGATGGAGGGATATAAATAAATAAATCATACTTTCCGGGGACAAGATATTACAAGCATAAGAATCCATTTCCAGAATCTGTTACTCTGGTTAGATTATCGTTTCACCACAAGATTCAGTGCCCTCCCTCAAGCTTATTTCCATTTACATTCACCGCTACTACTCGTGAGATCCTTCTTTTACGACTGGCCGAGTACCATCATAACTGGTGCTGCTTCAAACATCCTTTTACTTGGATATCCTATGCTGAAAATTTTTTATTACATTCTCGAGAAAGCGGTAAAACCGCGAGGCTGGTGTACAGTCGCATGCACCACGATATCTTGATGTAAGATGGCTGGGTCGACCTAACAAGACACAGCCGGAGATCTGCATTACGAAACATATATCTCATATATATATATATTAAAGAATGATACTTTTAATTTTTTGCGTATAAATAAAAATTTGTCCGATATCAACGACTTTCGAGATGTCCTATGTAAAAAGAGCAATCGCAATGACGTTTAATCAGCAAAAGTCTTTTTAAAGCTGATAAGTAGGCATGGCATTTAGTTATCAAAAGCTTTTACATTCGTGAACATTTTGTTAAAAATACAATCGTACTCACATTGTTGGCTTGCGAGGACACCTTTGTGAAAATGAGTAAAGCGAAAAGTTGATTTTAACCCAGTTTGTAAATCCTATTAAAAAGTATAGCGGCGTCTCTCTGTAAAACTGAAACTTCTTAAATGTTCCGACGAGGCTGATGGTATTCAGCGATCAAATTCAGTGACCCATTTTCATAATATGAACAGACAGTTTCAATATTTTTTAGGACAGATATAAAGGGAAGAACGCTATGTGATAGCTTTAATATTATCTTGGTCAGATTAAACTTTATTTTACGCGAGTAAATTATATGACGCCAATTAATTAACTAGATATAGAGAACAGCTTTGTTCGAGGCATCAAACAATATTTTTAGTTTTACACGCGACATCTAAAGAAAGATGTTGTCGGAATATTATGATAATAAACAGTGCACGTTGATACTTTCAATTAAACCAATGCATTCAAATTTACTAATTGTGTAAATCAGCAGCTTGGCTAAATTATAAAATGACTGGAATTAATTCCAACGGTAACAAGGCGATAAACGTTGTACACTAGAATTTTGTTTCACATATAAAAAAACACATTCGACATGTTTTTCTGTACAGTGGTGATTCAGCAAAAAGTTATATCTCATGCTAGACAGCAGCAATTCGATGAAACGTTACTATACAACGGATTGTTAGCACGAAACAAGAGAATTTGCCAGATCAATAATAGTTACAACTTCCTAATTTTTTTAAAAGCTTGTCACGCATTGTATCGCATGAATTCCAAAAAAATCCCAGTTTAGAAATAATATTGTTCGCGAAACTACCTTGTATGTTTAAACGTTGATATATGAATAGGCTTTCGTGTACTCTCTTATGAAAATACATGCACTTTTTAAGATTGTCTTATATAAAGATCGCAGTTAGTAATATGGCAATTGTGCACATTCAATATTTTATATGAGATTGTGATGACGATGCATAGAATATATGAGAGAGATTAGTCAGACGAAGTACTGCTACCTCAGGAATTTCATATTCATCCCACATCTGCGAAACCAAATTATATCGTGGTGTCCCGCGTAATCGCCCAAAATCGTTGGTGCTCGAATCGCATTTGGCAGTTACAAGTATATAATTAATTTTCTCTACGCAGAAACATTTATTTTACTTCGGAGAATTGTGACGTCAATGATATCAAATTAGGAAAAGAAAGAAATTGCACGGCGTTAAATATGAGTGATTGCGACAAATGTAAAATATTTGAAAAAGTTTATTTGATACGTAAACTCTAGTCTAACATTTGTTTCTGAAATCATATACATAATTACAAAAGTCACAAAAATATCCGCTTGGTGAAATTATAAACTGCAACAAATATTTATACAAACGTATGAAAGTAATACCTTGCATTAAAAAAAAATCATATTTTTGACTCGTTCAAATAAAAACGTGATATTAGCAGAGGCGATGGAAGTTTTTAAATATTTTACTCTGTAAAAATTTATTAAAATTTAAACTCGCTGTTAATAAAACGTCATTTCTCAAATATTAAATTGATTCGTATAACCTTATATCAATACAGTGAACTAGCAATCAGCTCAAGGGTTTCATATATTCCTCTATGCAGGGTACAACCTAATTATGACAAACATATCGCGTAATTTCGCCAAAATCATTAGAGCATGCAATAGCGTAGCCAGAAATATGAAATTCTAATTTCAATTAATATAATATCATAATATAACTATTGCTTGTTGTCCATAAAGAGCAAACGAATTTGGACAACTATAAATTGACAATAAACTACTACATTGTACATAATGCAGCAATTTCACATACAAAATTTACGAAATATATGTTCTCAAAGGATTAAATTTGGATTAAAAATATATATTATTGAGATCGAACGAATAATTAAATTTAAAATTTTAAAAAGATAGGAAAGAATTCTGAGTCGTTATTACAAAACCTCTTAAATATCAAATGTATTATATTTGCAAATAAATTCATGTCTGTTTAATAATATTTCCATGTCTTGCACTAAAGAAGACATTTTCTTACAACATCTTGCCGTAACAGTGCAACATCAGTGCATATAAAAAGATTAATTATGGAATTATAAAGTTGCATCTTAACTTTTTCTTAGTATGTCGTCGTATTTTATAATATAATTTATTATAAAGTAAATCTTATCTAAAGCCGCCATGTCACGCGAATCTTTCTGTGACATCACAAAACGACGCCTGCGAGAATTTGATCGAAGCTCGTTATCTCGTTACGCATTTGTTTCGCACAATCATGTACTCTTGGCAGAATTTTTTTCTGTTGATAAAGAAAAAATTCTAATTCCGTAATCTTCCAAGAAAGAGACCGTGTAACTGTAAGTGAGCATGAAAATTGTCTCAATTTTTAAAATAAATATATTATTATATACTTATGTATGTATATTTGTGTTCAATATTTAAAAAATTATTATTGGCTGGCTTATAAACATCGACTGATGTTAGAAAGAACGTAACACTTGGAGGAGAAAAATAAAATTTAAAAATATGTATATATGCCAAAGTGTCAAATACGAAGATCTTCCTGATGTGCGAAATAATGAGCAAGAGGAACTGATATACATCTCGCTTATACTTCCCAGTTAGCCTCGACGACTTCATTCCGCGTCGAGCTTCAGAAGCTATTGCATACACGCCTCGAATTACTCCCCACGCGAGACGAACTAACTCTCGCGCACGAGAGCCACATTCGCAGAGTAAGAGGCACGCACCACAAATCCGCGCTACGTGGAATACTACGTGGAATACGACTAGCCTAGTCGTATTACTCTACATGGAAACAAGAGAGAACAATCCTCGCGTCGGACCGTCGCAGCGACGGTGACGACGGCGGCGGCGACGACGGCACCGAAACTCGTTAAACTTCCCGCACACGCGAAACGGGGAGCGTTGGCGGGTAACAAAATTCGCTATTCGCTCGGAGGGTGGTCGCCAGTTCCTACTGGGGGATTCAATTAGCACCGCGACAGTGAATTTAGCACTCGCGGACGCGGGAGAGAACGAAACTCCGTTGCGGAGACAAATTCGGATGTGCTACGACAACGACAGCATGGGCACTCCGTTGCCGGGGATAAATCGTTGCTCGGGGATCAAACGCGACAGATATTTGTCGATAGTCATCTCCGTAAGCGGCAGTGGGGGGAGGGGGAGGGAGGGGGGGACATAAATGGGACCCGCCAATGATGCGGAGACGCGCGGCTCGCAAACGCGTACGATTTCTATTCCCACTCACCGGATGCGACGGGATTGTCGGTCCATGCACTTCCCGCGATCGTGGACAGCAGCACGGCGCCAGTCAACAGCCGTAGTCGGCCTCGCACGGTTCCCGGGACACGTTGAACACGTTGCTCACTGATCATCGCGGTACCGGATGGACGAGAGGGTGCGCGACCGGCATCCCGACTGAGGGTTGTACCGAGAGCGTGTTTCTCTACGTCCCGCATCATCCCCTCTCGTTTCCCGCCACGCGCAGACGCCTCCGCTACTCGGGGCTTCCGTCGACTCTTGAGCCACCCCCACCGCGAGCTCCGTCTTAATCCCACTCACTTATCTCTTATCAATAGGTGACGATTAATTATCCCTCTACCCCCCCCCTCCCTCCTACGCGTCGCAGCCGTTGCGCGCTTTCGAGGTCGCTCACAACCTGTGGCACGCTCATCTCGGGTACTTGGGGTATGTCTTTTGGCATGAGCCCTGAGGACGGAAGATATGAACGCAAGAATAATATCACTTCGTCGACGCCGAGAATCGGTTGGCCTGCGCTCGATTTATGGCTGGTCGCGATATGTAATATGTGTTCGGAGGATTCGAAAGGTTCGAGAGCCGGGGCGATAAATAAAGTCTCGCGCGGCTTGTAAAAAAATTTATTAAAACTGTAACGCTACTGTGTGCGCGTGCGCGCGCTAAATTTGGAAACAAACGCAAGTACGTAACTACACATGATTTAATTTCGCACGGAAAAAGAGTGGGAAACATAAATTGAGTTTGAGCAGATGAGGCCAGATTGTTGCGAATTAAATTAAAATTAAAATTACATGACTAATTATCTTTATATCTACAGTACCGTCGCGCCGACTAACGTTATTTAAAATAAAAAGTAATTAACATGTTTATTGAAAATCTTATATTACTTTAGGGAAAAACTCGATATTTCCTTTTAATTTAGTGGAGTTTAGTGGAGAGAAAAAGCTCCTTTGAGAATTGATACGATATAAGTTAACGTAAGTTTCAAGTTTAAACGATCAGATATAATGGCAATCCAGGGAGAAGGATTATTTGAAAGTCTAAATAAAATTAATTTCATACTCTCAAATCTCAGTCTTAAGTCAAACATAGTTAGAACTGAACACTATAATTTACATCCAATTAGGATCGAGCTGGCATTTATTTAAAAATTACAAGTTTAAGATAAAAATTAATTTTTTCATACAATCAACATCTTTCTACAACGTTCATCAACGGTTGCAATCACTGTTTTTTTAATCTGCATTTTTTCTCTCTTATATAACAACTAAACATGCAAAAAATTTTATTTGTAATTCATTTATCAAGGAATAACATCGGCGCAATGCCGTATATAATCATTTCAACATAAAATCAATAAGTATCTAGATTAAAAAATACACATGCAGTAAAATGATATATATAGCATACATTTATTATATTCTCATCGGTACTCAAAAGATTAACGAATGGTAAATAAAGGATAAGCGTGACAAACACTTTTCTTGTAATTAACATTTTATTATATATTTATCTCCCGATATATTGTGGAAACACAGATATATTAAAGGCATATTACAGTGATGTCAAATACATGATATTGCGCATGTAACTTTCATCTATTGGTTGCAGATATTAGTTCGGCTGTTACGTAAGCGCAATTTGGAAGTTCATACATATTCAGCCAATCCATTCGCCTTTACGTGGAATAAACGATAAAGATAATTGATCACGTGAAATATCGATTAGCTATATCGGGAATAGTTTAATGGATTTTGCTAGAAAGCGTGATTAATAAACCTGCAAAGGAAATATGATTTTCATTGACATATGATGGACGGAAGATATTTTCGGGTCGGCCCTTAATTACTTATTCCACAAAACATAATCGCAATATAATGAATTGCGTTCTGGATTTGATTGATGTTCACACAATAACCGCATATAAACCGCGCAAATATTTAGGAGGAAATATCCCGCGCGCGTTTGACTTTTCTTGTCAATCTTTCGCGATATCTCTCTCGATGTTGATATTATTTCGACTTTAATAGCTCCCGGCCAGTCGCGCATTACGCGTTCAACTTGTAGTATATTGCGTGCTAAGATAGCAGCTTCTATTTTCACCTTAACATCCGAATAAAGTTATTGTACATTACACTTCTGGCTCACAATTTATGCTTTGAAGTTATAAATATATATATATATATATATATATATATATATATATATATATATATATATACA